AATTTTATAAATTCACATTTTTAAATAAAAAATAAAAAATTTTAAATATTTGTCTGCACATTTTCAGCTTTTCTCATATCATTTTCCATTGGGATTATGCACCTATCACATTCACACATGCAAAATTTTGTGAAACAAGGAGTCTTTTTTTGGTCATTTACAATATGTTTTGATTAAAAAGAAAAAAAATTCTAATTAATTAAATTATAATGTTTTAAAAACATTGTAATTTAATTAGATGTAGATGATATTCTTAATTATATTCACCAAAATATACTGTACTCAATTACATAACAGCTATAAATTTGTCTTATTTGAGACATTTGTCAAAATCAATCAAGAGATTATCAAAAAAAAAAAAAAAATCAATACTATATTAATTTTTTTTTTTTATTTTGGTTGCATAATGGAAGGCAATTATCTCTTATCCTTTATTCCACCCCACCTGCATGTTATGCAATTCGAATTCAAGATCTTTTACTTTCAATGAAATGAGATGATTATTGAGTTATTTAGGTCGTCGGTTACTGTATCAAATATTTAGTTTTAATTTTTAATAATCAATAATGAATCAGATTTCTTTCCAATAATGAATCAGATTTCTTTCCAATAATGAAATTATTTAGACACTAATAAAGCAATATATTGAAATTTTGAAACCAACATTACTTGCTATTTGGGTTTATATTTTTTGAGAAGGATGCCGGCTCCCATCAAGCCTTTTGTTGCAATTCTTCTTCTTCTAAGTCTCGTTAGCAAAGGTAAATAACAAAATGTTTTCCTCTGCTACTAAATCTATTTGTTTCTTCCACCACAAGAAAAAAAAAAGGGGGGTTTTAGCACAAAAATTATTGTTTCCAAATCATGCTTAGGGTGATTTTTTGTCTTTTGCGTTTTGTAATGCAGGGTTTGGTGAATGCTCTTTGAACGACATTAATGTTGGCACTGTAAGGTCAGGGAGAGAGGTTGAGGGCAAACCACAATGGGATGTGACAGTGGTGAACAACTGCAAGTGTCCCCAAAGCCAGATCAAGTTTGCCTGCAAAGGATTTAAAACTGTGGAGCCTATTAATCCGTTAATCTTGGCAAAGCAAGGGGATGAATGTTTGCTCATCAATGGAAAGACTTTGCCTGGTTTTGCCACCGTCAAATTCTCCTATGCTTGGGATCCCCCCTTTGTGCTGTTTCCCTCAGGGTCCGCTATTGGTCCCTGTTGAAACAATATTTCTTTGGAGCAAAATAATGTAGCCTCTATTGGTTGCATCATGAATAGAAAGCTATAATCTTGCTTATTTTGGGGTACTCTTGTTCCAAGATTACATCTTTTATTATTTGACTTACAAAACTTGTTCCACCTCACCCATTATGGTTAAGGTTATAAGTACTAATATCTAAACTGTGAACTTATTATTGATTAAGTTATAGGTGATTATAGTTATTGTCACATATAATTATGTTAAAATCATACAAAAATACTTTTAAATGTTATTGGTTTGATTTATTTTAACTATCTATAATTAGTTAGAGTGTTTGGAAACATTCATAATATTTTTATGTGGCCTTAGATATATATTTGTAACAACAACCGTGCTCATCATAAGTAGTAATTTTTATATTTCATTAGACTAATTTACTCCATGACATTGACCCAAACTACTCTACCATGTAATAAATTTACTTGGTTATGAGAGAATTCTCCTAATTTTACATAATCTTCCCATGTCAGCATATCAATTTAAATTTAATGCTAATTTAATGGGGAAACAATGCCACGTAAGCACCTAACTGATAGAGGGACTAAAAAGGAGATTTCTTTAGTTGAAAGGCCAAAAGAGACTCTGCACAATAATTGAGGAAGCAAAAAGAAGCTTTAACGTTGGGAAATTTCAAATTCAAATTTGGTTATGGGTGGATTCAACTTTGGGGAAAATGTGCAGATGTGAATGCCTTATTTTGTAATTTTTTTTCTATTTAAAAATACAAATTTTACTAATTTTTAATTAAGATAATAAATTTCTTATTTAAAAATATCAATTTTAATTTTTTTATTTATAAATATTAATTTTATATTTTTCATGTCACTTCAAATAAAAAAAATTAAAAATTTATCATATTAATTAGAAACAATAAAAGTTACACCTTTTAAATAAAAAAATTACAAAATTAACATCTTTGTCCGCCCTTTTTTCTCTTCAACTTTGGGAAGAGAGATATAGAGCTAAGTTAGTAAAACCGAAGGCTGTGCCCTAAGATAAAGACCAGAGATGCTCTCTCTAAAACCAAATAGTAACACTTCTAACCATGGAGGCATTCAAATTTAATCAAGAATCAATGTTGATGTACGAAGATTGAAGGGAGTGAGATAGAGCTAAAAGAGCTAATATACGATCACATTACAAACTGAGAATAGAAAACATAAAAAGGGTTCTTAATCCACAAAGTATTGCAATCTTAATCTACCCTAATGTGGACAGGTAACATGAATCTGCCCATTCTAGCCTCCAACTAACACCACACTGCCCAAAAAAACGAAAACGATAAAGAAAAGAAAGTCTGGTTTATTTTCTTTTCTTAGCTGGTGGCTGAGGAATCTCCTCCTCATCTTCTTCATCGTCTTCCTCCTCCTCTTCCTCACCATCATCATCGTCATCATCATCCTCCTCATCATCGTCGTCTTCATCATCCTCGTCTCCACTGGCACCATCACCGTTGGCCTCTGGTCCATCCTCAGGATCTCCATCTTCGCCATCTTCATCAGATCCATCTTCATCCTCACCTCCATCCTCATCCTGATCATCTGCAGCCTCATCGTCCTCATCATCATCATCCTCAGTGTCACTGGCATCTTTGTTCTCAGGACCAGGTTTTCTCAAAGCATGAAGCTTATCAAAAGGGAACCTGCAAAATAAACTTCACTTACTTCCTCATTTCAAAGCAGAAGAACCAGATTAAACATGAGGCAGTAATGAATTGTGAAACTAACCCCGTAAATGCATTAGGTTCCTTTGGCAAGACATCAATTCCACTAGGCAGAGTCCCAATCTGGAGAACAATAAA